TCGACTGTCCAGAAATGGTATAAAGCAAACAAACATTGCCAGGACAGTATGATACCCCCAGTGTATTGTATCCAGAATCCTAAAACGCCATCGGACTAAAGGAAACGTTGTTTCAAGAAAGTCTACTGGTAGACGCTGGAAAACTACTGCCCGAGATGAACGTGTTTTGATCAGGTTAACATGTCAAGGCTGAAAGAATCCTTGCAACATCTTTCGACAGGAATGGAATGAACACATTTATTCCAGGACATCCAGAAGAACAGTGAAGAGGAGACTGACCAAACAAGGTTCTTTTGCAAGAAGGGCTATCTGCAAACCAATATAAACCAGAATTTACAACTACACAACTCAATTTAAGAAGAAATACGCGAAAAAAATTTTATCCAGAGAAAAAAAAAACGAAACAAACAATGTTTGAAGAACCAAAGCAAGAACATCGAGAACAGATACCGCACCGGCAGTAAAATACCGGCGAATAAAATACCGGCGAAAATCATACGGAAAAATAACATTAACAATAGTCCAATTAAACCAAGGCCAGGAAATTCAGTTAAAAATAACCTATGCAGGTTAAAAAAACGAGCGATGAGAAACTTAAGAAACGAGGAAATTATCATAAAGAAGCGGATAGAGGTGGATCGGTAATTACTGTATCATAAAGACCTAACAGTTTTATCTGAATATGAATCCTACCATGAAGAATTAGAAGAAAACCCTAAAAATAAATCAACATAAATGCAAATTTCAAGTGACTTACAGAGAAAGAAACTTTTATGATCTGCCGAAGGAGCATAAACGTGGATTCAAATTAATCCATTCTTCCATCGAAGTAACAAATCCACAAGATTTAAAACTCAGACCAATAATCACGAGACCAATATGCCTTCGTATTAATGATTATTTTGGTAGACCTATCCAATCTTTTACAAATTATATAAAAGTTATGTAAGAGACTTCTTGAACCAAAATATATCCCACACCACTCACAACTGTAAGTCTGCAGGCATAGGACGCTAAAATCGGGCTTTGATACTCGTGGTGGGCAGCAGACAGATAGCCTATTGTATACCTAAACCAAGCCATTACTTGTTTCATATAATGTTGAAAACCAGAACTGAAATATTCTAGAAGACCTTAGGCTCAACAAAGATGAGAGTCGACTAATAGGATATTTAATAAGGATTTTGAAACAATACTTTCAACTTTGACGGTACTTTTTTCAAAGAAATAAAAGGTCGTCCCCGTTTATGTCACCCTTACTTTAACCTATCTGGAAGAAAAACTATATGCCACAATAGAGGAACACTACGGCAATCAATACAGAAATAAACTTGGGAACTTTAATGAAATATTTTGGATGAGTGCTTTTTATACTGAGGAAGAAGTGAGGAAGAAATATTTCAGTTACGTTAAATACATAACAGTCTTTCGGTAAAAGTAAAACTAAAGCCTGTAACAGAGACGCAGACCTTTGCTTCTAAATAAGTCCCAGTTTTGATGTTTGCTGCCATGTTTGTGGGCTTTTCTATTTTTTGTTCTGTTTGTAACTTCAGTATCAATCAGTTTCATTATATTTTGTATTACTGTCCAAATCAACGCAAGAATCGGGGTTTCGATACCCGTGTTGGGCAGAGCACAGATAGTTCATTGTGTAGCTTTGTGCTTAATTACAAACAAATAGTGCCAAAATAAATCGTAATATATACCCTAACCAGTAGGTAATATAACAATGCTATAGAACAGTGTGGAAGAACATAAAACCAACAATAAAGATGTTTTCCTTAAACACCATAAACCAATGTAGATTTCTTTTAAACAAATATTTTGTATAAATCTATCATAATAATAATTAATTTTTGTTTGTCCTGAAAATTCGCATGCGCGCGCACTTCATTTCAACGAATTCAAACAAAAGGCGGATGTAGCTGAACGTTAATAGACATTTTGTACAACAATATATTAAAAGCTTATCAAAAGGTCTAACGTTAGGTCGGAGAATAACTTTATAAAACTATTCATTGATAGTGTTAAGAACGGTAAAATTTAGCTCTAACTAAACTAAAGCAAAAAACGTACGGGGTTATTAAAAAGTTTGCTCCATACCCTAATCCAAAGATTATCTGTTAATAATTTTAGTTTTTCGCGTTTTAGTAAAGTTATTTTTTTTCCAGGTTTATTAAGGGTGAACATGGTAGATTAAAGTGACTATTCAATAGAAGAATGCTTAGTCATAAGTGTATGGACGTCACATCGTATCCTATGTCATGAAAATAAAGACCAACAGACAGACATTTTGGATTATTAATAGAACTTTTTCTTAGTTTGTGTCAATATGAGATATGCAAATCTGTCAATATGCAATAATTTTTTTCATGTACACTATCTTTATTTGAGGGGAGGGTGCCCACACTTTTTACCCACCTTGTACACAAGTTACAGTGTTAATTTATATCTATATCAAGTGCCTGGCATGGCCAGGTGGATAAGGCGCTCGACTCA